AGTGTGTGTGTGTGTGTGTGTGTGTGTGTGTGTGTATCGGCGAAAAAGACTAGGGGATTGAGACGCGAGGACGAGAGAGAATGTGTGGGAGATGGGGGGATGGCTTTCAATGGACTGGCCTTCACCTTCGTTAACCCACACACACATGATCGGACATAGTTAAAACAAGGAAAGTAAATGTTCACAATTAAAGCTCAGATCAGCGCTAGGCCTATGTCTTTACAGTAAACAAAACACACACAGCAGGGCCTAATTAAAGTCCAGCGAGGTAGTTGATTGGTTATTTTTCCCTCAGAAACGATGTATTATAATCAGTACCGGTAGTACTTTTACAAGTTGCGTCCGTGGAAATAATAATAATATTATACATACGTACAGCTAGCCTATACATAAATGTCTTACGTCCTTCGGGCACGCACTATTACATTATACAAGCACTTATTCATAATATTTTCAGAACTCCTTTAATCCAACAGAGTTGTCGCAAAGATTCTCTTATAATTATACATGTACTACACGGTCTTTGGTTTTCGCAAAGAATTCACGCACAGTTGTAGGCCTATCCGCGAAAAGCACGATTAATTATATTTCACACCGAACTCCATTAATCCAACACGAAAACAGATCCATAAACCACGTCCCTGTTGCGCATTACGTAAGTAGGTGTCGAATTATGGTCTGTCCATTAATCCAATACCAACACACACGAACACCAACACGTATATGCACTCAGGTAAGGCCACATAAATCCCGCAAACACACGAGCACGCATACGTACGTACACAGGTAAGGCTACATAAATCCAGCAAATACACGAACACGCGCGCGCGCACACACACACACAGCAGGTAGGGCTGGTAACATGGCAACAAGCGTGGATTAGATTCTACCGCCGAATTAACCGTCCCATGGGCTGAAATTGTAACAAGAGAGAGAGAGGGAGTACCGAAGAGTCATCTGTGATCACACCAGCCCTAACTGGCCCAGGCGACACTGCACACACACACACACACACACACACACACACACCCCGTCGTTATCTCTGACTGACGAGAACAAGTGACTGCTATTGTCGAGGAGTCAGAAGTTTTGATCATCGACACCGCAGTCA